ATGGCCCAGAGCCCAGCCTCCTGAAGAAACCCACCTCAGTCCCGTCCTTCTTTCAGTGCCCAGTGGCGGTTGACGCTGCTCTGGTAGGACTCCCAGCAGAAACCAACTGTCCCATCTGCCCGGATGGCCTGCGAGGCCCTGTCACCATCGAATGTGGGCACAGCTTCTGTCGCTCCTGCACCCAGCAGTCCTGGGCTGATGTGCAGGACAGGTTCCCTTGCCCTGTGTGCTGTCGCCCATGCAAAGAGAGGCACCTGTGGAGCAACACCCAGCTGGAAAGGATGGTTGACGTGGCCAAGCTCCTCTGGATCACAGAGGCCGACGTGAAGCAGCAGGAAGAGAGGCGCTTGTGTGAGAAGCACAGCCAGGCCCTGACCCTCGTCTGTGAGGAGGACCGAGAGCTGTTTTGTCCCCTGTGCACTCAGCCCCCTGACCACCAGGGCCACACGTGAGGCCCGTGGAGGAGGCTGCCTCTCATCACAGGCAAAAGCTCAGAAGTTACATTGAGCCCCTGAAGGAGCAGCTGGCAGACCTTCAGAAACTATTAGCCACACAAGACAGGCAACGATCAGAACTGAGGGAAAAGGTGGAAAAGTGGAGAGTGAAGTTAGCCTCTGAATATGAGAGTGTGATAGCATCCATAGAGTGTGAGCAAGCGGCAGTTCACTCAAGACTAGCTGCACAAGAGAAGCACATTCTACGGAATCTCACTGCAAACAAAGCTGCATTTTCAGACCACATTTCCAAACTTAGAGTTCTACGAAAGGAGATGGCAGAGACTAGTGTGGTGTCAGATGTGAAACTGCTGATGAACATCAAGGGTGTCCTCCACCGTTGTGATAACCTAGAACCTCCAGGTGTCTATTGTGTCAAGTATAAGAGAGAAGAATTCAGTCTTCCTCCACAGTGTTCGGCCCTGCTGCAAATCATGCAGACATTTAGAGAAGAAGTTACTCTGGATCCCGAAACTGCACATGCTAATCTGCTTGTGTCTGAGGATAAAAAGTCTGTGACATTTGTGAAGAAAAAGCAAGGGGTTCATCAGAATCCAAAGGGATTTGCAGACGATGCAGTTGTCCTGGGTTCTGAAGGGTTTGACTGTGGCCGACATTACTGGGAGGTCCAGGTGGATGACAAGCCTGAGTGGGCCGTGGGGGTCTGTAAAGACTCCCTTTCCAAGGAGAGAAAGCAGCCCCTGCTCAGACAGGAGAAGAGATGTTGGACGATTCAGCTGCAGGATGGTGACTGTGGCTCAAGGGCCTGTTCCTGTCACCCTTGTGCTGCAGGAAATGCCCAGAGGGATTGGCATCTACCTGGACTCTGAGATGGGTCACATTTCCTTTTACAGTTTGAATGACATGTCTCGCATCCATTCCTTCAGGGATACATTTTCTGAGGTGCTGAAGCCTTCCTTCTATGTCGGATGTGATCCCAAACCTCTTGCCATCCGTGTTTTAAGAGATTGGGAAGGATGAACTGTCATTTTGGTTCATTTTCTTCCTGTGACTTATAGGCAGCAGGTAGAATTTTTTAAATTATAATTTTATTGCCATTTTATTTTTAAATATATTTTTATAGATGTCAGAGGGAAGGAAGAGGGAGAGGGATAGAAACATCAGTGATGAGAGAGAATCATTGATTGGCTGCCTTCTGCACACTCTACTCTGGATCCAGCCCCCAACCGAGGCATATGTTTTTAACTGAATTGAAACCAGAATCCTTCAATCCACAGGCTGAAGCTCTATCCATTGAGCTAAACCAGCTGGACCTTATTTTTTTTTATTATTAATCAAATCTTTATTGTTCAGATTATTACATTTGTTCCTCTTTTTTCCCCCCCATAACTCCCCTCCACCCAGTTCCCACCCCATCCTCCTCCCTCACTCCCCACTCACTGCCCTCATCCATAGGTGCATGATTCTTGTCCAGTCTCTTCCCGCATCCCCCTCACCCCTTTCCCCCACAAGAATAGCCAGTCCACTCCCTTTCTATGCCCCTGATTCTATTATAATCACCAGTTCATTCTGTTCATCAGATTATTCACCTGATTTCAAATTA